AGGAAGTGGAACAGAACAGAGTGTTTTCCGTTTGAGGAAAGCTCAACTCCAAAATCTGCAGGTTTGTGTGTTAAACATGTGAATGAAACAAAACACAACTCCAGCTCTGTTTGTGATGAGGAAACGACATTAGATCATGAGTAAAGAGCATAATGTAGGTCCTTTAATATTATTGTCTACTATGGAAACAACAAAAAAGCAGAATAGGCTGATAGAACCTTTTAACAAAACTTTACTGATGTTGTCAATAAATGTATTTTTAAAGCACAGTGACTAATATTAATTAAATTAAACCAGGGCTCTCCAGCCTGTAGCTCAGGAGCTGCAGTAGTTCTCCTCCCCCTTGAGAGGAGCTCGCCAAGGGATTTCGGAATTAACTAATTAAACTAATTGGTGCCTAACTTTGTGCGCTAAAGGTTTAAGTTTTATAAGTCTCTAACTGTTTCCCATCTAAGGCTTTGCTCAATTATGCTCAATTTCTTGTGAGCGATGAATAGGGTGAGCAGACGTCTCTGTTTACCTGGACAGTCCCAGTTTTAAGCCTGTGTCCCAGCAGATTTATACAAAACCACTGATTTGTCCCAGTTTTATACAAGAAATGTCCCAGGTGTCCCTATTTTAGACCAGTTTGATCTAAACCAGGACTAAATTAAGCTTAAACCAGGACTACATCAGGTCTAAACCAGGACTAAAACAAGACTATCACAATTTACAGTAAAGAGGAGCATAAATTATCATTTGTTTTGTCAAAATTCAGAAAGCCGTGTTTGAAAATGACAATAAAGCAAACAATTCAGTGCCAGACGTCTCTCAGATTATGTTACACACTCTTTTCACAATTTTATTTATACCAACCGTCCCAACCCGGACGTGTCCCAGTTGGACATCCCACACTTAAACCAATTCCCGTAATGTTTATGAAATGTATTTTTCAATATTGAACATGTTATTGATGACTCAGCAGTAGGGTGACCAGAATTTCAAAATAAATAACTGGGACATCTCTGTTTTTTGTTTTTGTTTGTTGGTAATAATAAAATTGTGAAACGAGTGCATAATTAAGGAAACTTGTTACAAAGATGAGTCAGTGTAGTCACATTTTCTTTATGTTTTGGTTGTTTTTAAGCAGCTTCTTTTGCATTTTACCTAAACAGAAAATAATGTACTGTTATTACAGGTGGCAGGGATCAAATTGGTCAAAAATAGGGACATTTGAGACATTTCTTGTAAAAAAACTGGGACAAATCAGTGGTTTTGTATAAATCTGCTGGGACAGGGGACACAGGCTCAAAACCTGGGATTGTCCCAGGTCAATCTGGTCACTTTACTTGGCAGTTTAGTTTAAAATGTCAGAATTAAAACTTGTACAAGGTGTTGGGAAGTAACGGATTACATGTACCGGCATTATGTAATCAGAATACAGTTTATCAGTAACTGTATTCAGTTACAGTTACTGTAAATTACTGAGTGGTATATGGATTACAGTTACTTTGTTGAAATAAATGGATTACATGGCACTATTTTCCTGTTTTCACATTTTGGGCTAAACCAGGACTAAACCAAGTCTAAAACCAGGACTAAACCAGGACTAAACCAGGTCTAAACATTGTGACACTAACAGTAGGTGGACATAATTTAAAGCAGCAGTGATCTCATATAAAAATAATTTCTCTGTCAATATTTTAAGTAAAGACTGGACTTTTTATTGTCTTTAAGCAGACAAAACATCTTATGTTAAGATTTCCTCATCTTTGCTTCTTTACAGCAAACAAAAGTCTGTTCATGGAGACTTGGGCTCAACAGACAATTTGAAGAGAACAAACAAGAATTTGCAGAATGTGGTTGGTACATTCATGTAGTTTTAAAAAGCATGACAATATCAAGTAATCCAAAGTATTCAGATTACGTTACTAACTTTAAGTAATTTAATGGATTATGTTACAAACTACATTTTGGTGTATGTAATCTGTAATCTGTAGGGAAATACATTTTAAAAGTCACCTTCCCAACACTGCTTGTAAATGATAACTGCCCTCACATAAACTTCTCCTTGTTGTTTTATGCTCCATTAAAATGAAACAGTAAATCAGAAATTGCTTTAAACTCGTGTTATTGACGTGAATGGCTCCGTTATAAGCGCGTAACCCTCGTGCGTAAAGACTGCAGCAGCTGCTCGCAGTCATCTGACGGACACCACCATTCAGCGCCTTTCACTTTGACCCGTCATTTACGCAACTTTTATCAGTAAACGTGTTGAAACGCACGCTCAGACACGTCACCTGCGCGTTTAAGACGATATGTGACTCGATTAGGCAGCGGGGTGGCGTTCTGGTGCGAGAGAAAGCGGGACGGATCGGTTCTGACGCCGGTGGTATGGTCCTGGTGTCCGGCATGCGGTTCAGCTCACCGTCAAGTTACACAACAAACACAACCGGAAGTACAGGCAAGGATTTCAAAATAAAGGCAATGCAGTGATTTTACGATCAGATTAGATTTGTGAACTTGATAACACAAATTATGATAAATACTGTCAAAATCTCGTCTTGTCTCAGCTTGTGGAAATTGCGTCTTGTCCCATTTTTAGTAATAAATATCAATAATCTTCAAATGACAAATTCCACTCACTCCTCAGTCCTCACCCTGACCTACTTCTGTCTCGGTGAGCTCAAAATCTTGCAAAACCTTTTCCAGCAACTATAGATCTTTGAGTGTCATTTTGTGTCATTTAAATCAACTGTTAACATTTGATTCTGCAATTCCACTTTATGGATTTCAAAAGACAGGGAGGAAGAAGAGAGAACTCGTGTTAACTCCAGTCCATAATAATTCAGATTTTAACAACACAGCACAAACGTCTTTTAATGTGATATATTTCAGTTTTTGTTCTCAATATAGTTGGTTTATTGTCCGTGGTCTGGTTATAAACTGAAAGGGAGTCACATTGCATGAAAACATCTGACATTACTGTTGAATAAAGATGGGGACAGAACAAAACATTAGGCCACTGTCTGTTGGTGTGGCTGGATAAACAGCTTATAACCTTGTCACTAAAAAAACCAAAACAAAACAAAACAAAAATTATAGATATGTGCAGTTATTACAATAAGCTACCAGTCAAAACTTTGGACACATTTTTCCATGATTTTTTACACTGTAGACCAGGGCTGGGCAATTACTTTTACCATGGGGCCACATAAGAAACAGAAAATATTGTGGAGGGCCAAAATGGTTAACTTAAGACTGCATAATATTAATTGTATTTCTTTATTAAAAAAAAAAAAAAAAAAAGCAGTAAATGGCATTGTTTTGACGAGCTGGTAAGAGTTTATGTTATGACAAAAAAATGTCCTTTAAAAAACTAAATTAAAACAAAAGCAATGCAGCTTTAGTCCAGGCATGAGGTAAATTATAAAATATGTTTGTTTTGTAATTTCAAATGATCTTAAACGGGCTGGTCAGAGTCAACCAAAAGGCCCAGGACATGTGGCCCAGGAGCTGGACAATACCCAGGTCTGGTGTAGATTCTCACTTTAGCATCCAAACTATGAATGACACATGTGCAGAGTGACCAGATGTTCCTGTTTACCTGGGACAGTCCCAGTGTTGAGTCCTTTGTCCCCTGTCCCAGTGGATTTATACAAAACCAGTGATTTGTCCCAAATTTTTTACAAGAAATGTCCCAAGTGTCCCTATTTTGGACCAATCTGATCCTGCCAACAGTAAACAGAGGCATACATTGTCACCTATTTCTGTAAAATACAGAAAATCTGCTTCAAAATGACCAAAACACAAATAAAATGTGACTATAATGAATCACATTAGTGCTGAGGACGTAACAACACATGTTATACATTACAACAATTTTATTATTACCAACCAAAACCAGAGATGTCCCAGTTTTTTATTTTGAAAATCTGGTCACCCTACACATGAGGAATGAAGCAAACAAAAATGCACTCAAAATTACTCAAAACTTATTGTTTTGTTTTTTTTTTAATAAAAGGGGGAAGTGAAAACTTCAATGAGAGAAGTTCAAGTGTTTGCAGCACTGTCAACAAAGCAAAGGGTGGACACTGTAAGGATCAGAATATAAAATGTAACTTTTTGCTACATACCTTTATTTAATGTCTGTATGTAGCCTGTATAAATAAACACTGAATGAGAAAATGTGTCTAAATGTTTGACTGTAGTGAGTATGTCTCCCACTGAGAGAGGGACACAGCCATGTTCTACCTATAGACTGTTCAAAGAAGTTTGTGAATTTATTCTTATAATTTATTCTTTATTTTATTTTTATTTCTTCCATCCATCCATTTTCGTCCGCTTATCCGGGGCCGGGTCGCGGGGCAGCAGCCTAAGCAGGGACTCCCAGACTTCCTTCACCCCAGACACGTCTTCCAGCTCCTCCGGGGGGACCCCGAGGTGTTCCCAGGCCAGCCGAGAGACATAGTCCCTCCAGTGTGTCCTGGGTCTTCCCCGGGGCCTCCTCCCGGTGGGACATGCCCGGAACACCTCCCGAGGGAGGCGCCCAGGAGGCATCCGGAACAGATGCCCGAGCCACCTCAACTGGCTCCTCTCGACGTGGAGGAGCAGCGGCTCTACTCCGAGCTCCTCCTGTGTGACAGAGCTCCTCACCCTATCTCTAAGGGAGCGCCCAGCCACCCTGAGAAGGAAACTCATTTCGAGCGCTTGTATCCGCGATCTCGTCCTTTCGGTCACTACCCAGAGCTCATGACCATAGGTGAGAGTAGGAACGAAGACTGACCGACTGAATTTTTATTTCTTATTTCTTATTATACAATTTATTTTATTGTATGTATTTTATTGCATTTTAATATATTTATGTATTTTTTATTCTTATTTATTCTATAAATTTATGTATATAGTCTATGGTTCTAGCATTAAAAAAAAAGTTTATTTTATTGCCTGCTTTTATTTTGAAGCAGTAAGCGGAAGTCCGTCTCTGTCATATTACGCGCGTCTTGACGTAGCTCCAGCACTGACGCTTTTCATTCTCAGTAGATTTTTTTCCGCCGCTGTTGGATTTGACCTAATCTGACAATAACAACCATAACAGCGTTTTAAATCACCCAGCTCAGCCCTATCTGGAATATTTCTCATCTTTTATCTGGATTTCTATAGATTTCTATTGTTTGATTGCAATCTTGTGTAATTTTCCCCCTCGCATTGCGGTCGGATCTTTTCACTCAGGGCGTGTTGGGGGCGAGTTGAGCCCGGGTTTTGGAGCTCGATTTCGGGACGACTGTGAGGAATGACAGCGGCTAGAGACGGACTGATCGGAGCCTAAAATGGATACGATGGATTATAACGACCTGGGGAACCGCCTGGAGCAGAAACTCAGCCTCCAGGACAAAAGTAAGCCCGGGGTCGTGTGCGTAAAGACGGGGTAGCGGTGGTCGGAGCCGCGGGGTGGATGGAAGGAAGGTTCGTGGTGGGTGGGTAGGTGGTTGGGTGGGTGGTGGGAAATTCCTATGAAGACGAGAAATGGAGAAGGCGATATGATTTATGAATGTACAAGTCAGATCTGATGGTTAAAATAGAAATTAATCACTCATCACTTGGATTAAACACAGAAAAGGACGCACGGAGCACAGAGAAAACATGTTTAATACACCTTAATACAATGCAATACCGTGTTAAACTCACATTCATTCACGTTTTGTGCATGTTTTACGAGTTGTATTAACAATAAAAAACAAAAAAAGAGCATACAAATATATAAACAGTGGTTGGACAGTGGTTATTATTGTACTTGTTGAACTGTAGGCTTGCAATTGGCAACTAAAAGAGCTGAGACATAGACAAGGAGTTAAAGATAACATAATATGATAAATTTAATGGTTGTCACGGAAAATAGAAACATATATTGAAGAAAGTTGTACAAAAAGGACTAAAACATGTCGAAAAGGTCATAATACAATGTAATAGTGATAATAACTGCATGCATCTTCTTAAAGGTGCATTGTGTAACTTTTCTGGTGGTGTTTCTATGGAGATGTCGTAGAATGTTCCACAGTGTGACATTAAACAGTTTTACTTTACATTTATTCAATTACAGGTGGTTTTATGTCTCAAAAATACCTCGAAAAACAGACATTCTGACTGTGAGCGGGTCGCCTCTCCACAGATCTGACCTGTAACTTGATCCGGTTTGGTCTCTGTGAAGATAGAAAGGTTTAATGCCATACTGTGAAACATTACAGACAATGAAATAAAAATATCTACATGGAGAAAAGCGATTGACAGACGCTCCGGCAGAAAAGTTACACAATGCACCTTTAGTTTGCAAGTATTCAGTGTGTACAGTTAAACAAGAGGTGTGGAGAGTCAGGGTGGTTCTTAAGACCGGCTGGAACCATCGTCTTATGAAAAAATAAAGAGTTTTGTTGCGTTCTGAGCAAAGAATTCAACTTTTAAAACAAACAAGCAAGCAAAATGTATTATGATAAGTCTGCTCTCACTTCTAAACACGGTTATGAATTCAACTGAAGTCTAAATCTTATATGTTATATGTCTTCGTGAATGTTAGGGGTGTGCAAAAATATTGAAATATCGATATATCGTATTGTTTAATTTGATGATACAGTATGGATATCGTGGGCTGCTGTATCGATATCACCAAGAGTATTTTTTGGGTGTATTTTACTGAATTATTTTGTGAAAGAGCTGCAGTTGTGTTACTTGTTTAGAGAAGTTCACTTGTTTTGATGAGTAAAATGGGTGTTTTTCATATTAACTTTGCACAAACTTAGTGGTATAATTAAGATTTTTAGTATTCTGATTTACCGTTTGTTTTATTTTAACCATATTGAATCGATTTGAAATATATTGTATCTAATCTTATTGAATCGAAAGTGCGATGTATCGTATCATGGCCTGTGTATCGAGGTGTGTATCGTATCGGCAACTTCTTAGTGATACCCGGCCCTACATCTTATAGTATTTTCTTGCGATCTGTAGCTGATCCTAAACTTCTTGCAGTATTTGTCTTGTTGTACACAGCTGATCCTTTCTCTGCCTTGTTGTTGTAGTATTTAGTTGTAATATTATGTAGTATTTAGTTGTAATATTTTGTAGTATTGAGTGTACTGTGTATAGTGTAGTATTTAGAGTGTAGTGAGTGTACTGTGTAGTCGTATAGTGTAGTATTTAGAGTGTAGTGTAGTGAGTGTACTGTGTAGTCGTATAGTGTAGTATTTAGAGTGTAGTGTATGTGTGTACTGTGTAGTATAGTGTAGTATTTAGAGTGTACTGTGTAGCTGTATAGTGTAGTATTTAGAGTGTACTGTGTAGCTGTATAGTGTAGTATTTAGAGTGTAGTGTGTAGCTGTATAGTGTAGTATTTAGAGTGTACTGTGTGTAGTGTTATAGTGTAGTATTAGAGTGTACTGCGTAGTCGTATAGTGTAGCATTTAGAGTGTAGTGTGTGGGTGTACTGTGTAGTTGTATAGTGTAGTATTTAGAGTGTACTGTGTAGCTGTGTAGTGTATAGTGTAGTATTTTAGAGTGTACTGTGTGTGTATAGTGTATAGTGTAGTAGTTTAGAGTGTACTGTGTAGTGTATAGTTGTAGTATTTAGAGTGTACTGTGTAGTCTGTGTAGTGTAGTATTTAGAGTATGTAGTGTGTAGTGTATGTGTAGTATTAGAGTACTGTGTTAGCTGTATAGTGTAGTATTTAGAGTGTACTGTGTAGCTGTATAGTGTAGTATTTAGAGTGTACTGTGTAGCTGTATAGTGTAGTATTTAGAGTGTACTGTGTAGCTGTATAGTGTAGTATTTAGAGTGTACTGTGTAGCTGTATAGTGTAGTATTTAGAGTGTACTGTGTAGCTGTATAGTGTAGTATTTAGAGTGTACTGTATGTAGTGCACCTACTATTATTATGGGCTGGCATATGTGTATTCAAGTTTTTATATATACGAGGTTCAGGTTTAGCAGTTAGAGAAAATCCACTCACCGCCAGCTCAGCTCAGCTCAGCTCAGCTCAGCTCAGCACACAAACTTTTCTAACAGTTATATCTAATTTATGAACGTGTTTTTATTATAAACTCGTGACATAAATTCCAGACCTTGTGAAACTAAGAATGCATGTTATTATTTTTAAGTAGCAGCTTAAATGCTCATTCCTTCACCTGCTGTTGTGTCCTTGGGCAAGACGAGTGACTGGTGAAGGTGCGGACAATGGTGCAGACTGGCAGCCTCGCTTCAGTCAGTCTACCCCAGGGCAGGCGTGGCTACAGAATATTACCGCTGTGGAGTTTTTGAATAAAGAGTTCAGAAGAGTTTTAAGACGCCTGTTCAGCACAATACACATGAAAGGAAGAAGGGATTATTATTTATATCCACTGCTAAACACTGACTTAATGTCACTGAACAGAACATTTTATATATAAAAAGCTGTTTTAATAATCACTGTTGTACTGATGTAGTTCTTTAGTCATTTATTGATGGAGTCTTAGTCGGTTAAAATGTCTGTCATGAAAATGGAGGGAAATCAGCATTTTTTCATTATATCTATATTGTATTAATTACACACACAAGTTACAGTACATCTCGACACATTTGTACCGTCCTAAAAGGGATTCTGAATGATTTTTGAACAAATTCTGTATCTTTTAAGTTTCTTGTGTTGCACTTTTATAAATTATGTTCATGGCAGGTACAGAAATAATTCATATTTCTGCCCAAATCAACAATTACAGATGCCCTAGGACAGGAGTGTCAAACTCAAATTCACAGAGGCCAAAATTAAAAATTGGGAATAAGTCATGGGCCAAACTAAATATTTATTGAAATTTTTCAACAATGTTTTTGCATGTAATGTTAACCATTTTCTTATCTTATTCTTCCGGGGTTCTTGCAAACTGCCTGGTGTATTCTGATTCCTGATCTAGTCGCTGGAGAGAAATGAAATGGAGTGGAGGAACTAGATGGCGCCAGCCTGGCTAATATAAAATAGGATTTCATAGTAAACTTCTGCGAACAAATGAGGTTATAATGACATTATATTGATATTACATACTGAAAAAATGTGTGCTGCTTCAGGAAGATTGATAAAATGACATAAACAAGCCCCCACATTTGGTCTGATACATTCACATTTCATTTAATTATGATGTAGAAGCGGATTTTCCGATAAAAGGCCGGCGAAAACATTCCCGCCAAGAGAATGAGACACTCGCGCGGGGACTTTCAAGACAGGGGGACACTCGAGACGGTATTCATGGTGTCACTTAATAATAATAATAGTACATAACACGTGTATAGCGCTTTTCAAGATACTCAAAGACGTTTTACATGAAGCGACCAACAAAGACAAGCAAAAGAAATAAAAAAGTGAATGAAAGGTGGTTTGAAAGACATGGGTTTTCAGGGCTTTTTTAAACATGTGGATGAGTCTCTGATGTGTTCGGACATGGAGTTCCTGCAGCGGTGAAGTCCCTGTGCCCCCCAGGTTTTGCGTTTAGTCCCGGTGGAGTGAGACGGCAGGTTGTCAGGCGTCGGCTGATCGGAGTGTGCAGTATGTTTTTCCTGAAAGATGCAAATGTTTTTATAATGTGAAACTTTGTGATTTAACTGACTTATACCTTCTGAATCTCAGTGGGGACCTCCTAAAATAAAATAAAATAAAAAAACAAGGACTTCTATGTGAGCAGCAGAAAGGAAAAGTGAGTGAGTTCGCTGAAGATTTAGGAGTAAAACCTGTTCTTTTCCACACTCTTTTCCCTAGTACTTTTCCGTCAGTCAGTTTGCAGTAGTATTTTGAAAGCAGTTCCATGATCAGGTCCTCAGAGATACACAGAGTTTTACAGAGCGCTTCTGCCACACCTCCTTTTTATCAACCAATGGATCTGCAGCACATGTCTTTAGTCCAACGAATCCAAGAATTCTGAATTAATATTAAGAACACACACAGACTTGTCCGTGCGACGAAACAGGCCTCAAATGTCACTGTAACTTGTCACTACAGTATGATGCAAAGTTATTTTCTTCGTCTGTGATTTGATGATGTAATTAGACGTGAACAAGCCTCTTCTACGTTCTTTTTGTACATATTTGGTTCAGTTATGATTTATTTAGTTATTTTTTATATGCTTAGTCCCTGGCAGTGATGTGATGTGAGGAAGGCAGAGAGTTGTAGATGTTAACGTTGGAAAAATACTGAAATCTGAACTCTTTTACTCAGATTCAGACCCCGCGGAGACTCAGGGAGGGCATCTGACGCACAGGGAGGGCATCTGATACTCAAGGACATTGCAGGACGTGTTTGTAGACGTCTAAACTAAAGTTACATGTACGTAAAGTAAAGAAAAAGACTGAAATTGAGCTCTTTTATACAGAATCAGATCTTGTTG